ACAAAAGCTTTGTTTCAACCAAGACAGGCGCCGGCTTGCCGCCGAACCTGCTAGTGAATCGACTCTGCTGACATCAGTGAGCTCTTAACCCGAAGAAGTCGGGTGGCTACACCGAAGTTGCCTCTCTTTCTGCCATTCTACAATCGTTGGTTACAGCAGCTCGCACTTGGCTTGCTTGGATGCCCAAGGTGTGTGAACGCGTACGCAGGACCATTTTATAGATTGCTGTAAAGCACTTCATGAAAATCCATGACGAAGCCTTGAACGCCTGTATTTGCTTGCATATGTACGTGTGTATGAACGAAAATGAGAAAAGTATGAGCGCAAGTGTTCGTGCGTAATGCATTTGCAGGCTTAATCGGCATGAATTATGCCACCGGGCGGCCGCATGGACCAGCTATGTACATACGTATTTCAGGCGCCTCCAATGAGTGTAAGTATGTTTATGCAAATGAAAACATAGGTCACTGCCGAAATACGTACTTACTATTTATGAAGGTGTAGCAGTGCAACTTTACACACATGGCAAAAGTTCTGTCGTAAAATGCAAAAATTTTCGCACAAAATTTAATTGACCCAATGGACACAAGTGGACACTGGCAACGACATAACGACGACACACATGCAGGAGCATGAGCTCATGGACTGGAACATATGACTGCCTGTTATTTACTGATATATTCACTTCTATGTTTGTATGTAGGCATGTGTGTTTTTAAAGCGAATATGGCGCTGCAGTAAACGCATGTGGGTGAGTGTGTGTATGTGTGTATATACATGCATATGTGTGTACGCACATCCCATTTGGGGCGATACCAGTCGCGCGAATTTATGAAAGATGCGGTAACCCAAAGAGTGGCGACGCACCTCATGGACAGGTGAACGTTTCACTACAGCTATAGCAGCCTACCATATGCACTGCTGGCATTAAGTATGTGAAAAATACTCACTCACACATGCACGCACACTTGCAATTTAATGCATTCGTTCACCTGCTTTTCAACGACACATACTACGTTTATACGCATGCATAAGTCGCTTTAATTCATTTCGCNACACCTGCTTTTCAATGACACATTTGCAATTTACCGCTCGCTACTCGTAGTTACTGCTGCGCACAGGTCGCTTTTGCGCCGCCATTTCATTGCATTTAAAATTTTTATTTTTATTTCAACTCTTTTGCGAATTTTCATGGCAATTCCTTGCTTGTTGTTTTTTTTTCTCATTTGTTTTACGCTTTGTTTGCCTCATTTTATTTGCTGTTTACTCACCTGGGACGCTACATTAAATAATTACCACAAATGGGTTTGGCGATAATTTTGTCACACAAATTAATAATTGCAACGGGCATAAAAGTTGATATAGTACGACAAACGAATACTTGCCGTAGGAAGTTACAACATGTGTGCATTACAGCTGGCAAATGTATGGACAAACATTCCTAGGCATTTCTCTCTTGTGTACGCATATCTGCAGTACTTTTGTGGATTTGCATCGCATTTCATGGTTATTGATATTGGTCATGGCTGCCGGACGGACTAGGCTGGCTGCCTCATTATACGAGGCTATTTTTTTGCTTGCTTGCCACATTAAGCTCATGAAAATCGTGAAAATAAAATGTGTTTATTATTAAAGTGTTTGCGATTAAAAGATTTCATGAAATTAATGGGCGTTATGCAGGGCGATACAAGTGAGCCAACAAATACAATAAATATTTTTTTTTTTTCGCTTTTAGTATGTATGATATCTTGAAAAAAAACTGGACGTAAATTATTGAACATTTAGGAACTGGCCATAATTTTTGGTTGTTTAAAAATTGGGCATACAAATGTGGTTATCTAAAATTAGGACGTACATTGTTGGTAGTTTAAAAGCTGAATATAGTTCTTGATAATTTGAAAACATGACATAATTTTACTCTGCATTTTTGGATATAATACCCAGGTAATTTTAAAATTGGACATAAATTCTTTTTAATTTAAAAATATAGCCATAATTTGTGGCTTTTTGAAACACAGGGCTAAAAACATATGTATAAATTGAGAAATGGAAATAAATGGTTGATCCTCTCAATTTATGCTGATTTAAAAGCAGGACACTTGGAAATTCAAAAACTGGACATGAGTTTTTGGCTATTTCAAAAAACGGGACATTATTTTTTCAATTTAAAAAAATGGTATGGTTTTTGTTGATTACAGACTGGACATAATTTTTGGTAATTTAAAACTGAACATAAGTAGCTATTTAAAAACTGCAAGTAAAATTATTAGAAATTTAAAAACTGGGTATGCAATAGGACGATTCGACAACAGAACATAAATATTTTGAAGTTTAAAAGTACGGACGTTATTTTTGTCAATTTAAAAAATATATATAATTGGACATAATTTTTCGTTATTTAAAACACGATAGAAATTTAGGTCGATTCGAAAACATGACATGTTTGTATGTATACGTTTGTAAATTCTTTTGTTGATTTAAAAATTGTGTATAATTTTCGAAATGTAAAAGCAGGACATAACTTTTTAGCAACTTTAAGACTTAACATATTTTTCTTGTGATTAAAAATTTGAACATATTTTTTTAGTAATTTAAAAACTGTTTTAAATTTTGTTAATTGAAAACTCGGCATGATTTATTTTATTTTAAAATTTTTATATGAATTTGCGATCAACTAAAAACTGGGTATAAATATTTTGTAATTAAAAAACTGAACATACATTTTTGGCAAGTTTAAACTGGATTTTTATTTGTATCATTTGTAGAAGTTTAAAAACTGGGCATAATTTTTTTGTAGTTTAAAAACTGGATATTATTGGCTATATAAAAACTGAACATAAATGTGTGCTAGTTTTAAAACTGACCATAACTTTTTGGACACAAATTTACGGCTCTTTTCTGTATCACTGACAAATTCTTGTCACAGTTTTTATTACGGAAAAATATATGAAAAAGTTTAAATTTGCCAGTAAAAAAATTAGGCTATTATAATAATTTAAAGAATTTACATACAATTTTTTTTCATTCTGGGTATAGATTTTTGGTGGCTTAGAGACTGGAAATAAATTTTTTGGGAATTATAAAATTAAAAAAAAAAAATTGGGAATTTAAAAAGTGAAGGTAAATTTTTGGTTTTGAAAATCTGGATATATATTTTTGCTGTCTTATAAACTGGTCAAAGGTACACGATTCTTTCATCATTTAGAAATGGCTATAAATTTTGGCTCATTTAAAAACCAGACATACATTTTTAATCATCTAAAAACTGGGTATAATTTGTTGGTTATTTAAAAACTGAGCTTACAGTTTGGCAAGTTGAAAACTGGACATTATTTATAGATATTCTAAAACTCGGTATTATTTTCTGGGCATAAATTTGTAATAGTTTATAAAATGAATATAAAATTTTGATTTTTTTTATATTTTGTTTTAGTAATCTTTAAACTGGATATAATTTTTATGGTCATTTAAAAAATGTACACAAATATTGTCTCATTAAAAAATTAGACACAAATTTTTGTTAGTTTAAAAAATGAGCATAATTTATTGATTATCAGAATACTATCATATAAAAACTGGACATAAATTTATAAGTTGTAACTTGAGACCTGCACATAAAAATTTGGTAATTTAAAACTTCATCATATAAACATGTGGCCAAAATTGCAAGTGAAAATCGGAATAATGTCCCTCCTTTGAAAAAGGGATAAGAAATATGTGAGCCGATAAAGCTCAAAAATATCTTTTAAATTTTCATATTCTTCTTCTTCTTTTTTTCATATTAGTACACAAATATATATATTTTTTAATTTGAGCGATGTGGCCACCAATAAGCCAGAGAACAAATATTAGGAAACTCATATGGACAACCATGTACGTACTCACCTAGATATGTACATATGTAAGTATGAACATAGGCGTGAGTTCCTACCTCCATACGCCACAATTTCGAACAAAGTTAACAGGTGGAAAAAGCTTCAAGATAAATAACAAACGAATATTTGCATATCAAAAGTGTAATCAACACCTTTAACAAAACAGCAGTTGAGTTTATTATGCCACGCAAGCCAAGAACAACAACCAAGTCAAAGCAAACAACTGACCGGCCGGGTTGACTCCGCATACGATTAACACAAAAGGACAAATCGAGCGAGTGACTGAACGCCATTCATTTGATGCTATATGCTTGTTTGAGTTGTGTATGTACTTATGGTTGTGTATACACTCGCCTGAAAATGTAGTTAAACTCGTTCGACCGGTCTCGGTCGGTCGCTCGGTCGACCATTTGGCGCTATTGTAAGCCTCATTAGAGATCACTC